TAGACGGGGTGGGGGCTTCGGGAAACCTGTTTCCAAACACGAAGTGACACATGCAAAATTTCCCGAGCTGAGGAATGACAACCGCATTTGATTTCGGCGTTTTCCTCCGCCGACCTCGGGCGCGGCGACCGCTTCTTGCCGCGGGCTGCTCCTCACCCGCGTAGACTCCGCGCTGCCGCCGCCGCCCGCGGCGGGAGGCAGGGGTTCTTCGCAGAGTTTTCGTGCCGATGATGTAATTTTTATTTCGTTACTGGTATTTCATTAAATCTCTCCTCTCGACGGGCAGCGTAGGAAATGCTGAGCGGAATCGCACTGTTGTGTAAACAAACAGTGGATATTTTATATGATTTAAATGCGTAGATAATTAGTTTTATTACATTCATTACCCCCTTTATGTGCTCTGTAACAAGTCGGCAATTAAAGTAACAAACTCATAAAGTCTTTATAGGGGCATTTAGGCTCTCACAGTATTCGCCAAGCTAAGTAGCTTAATTCAAAGCTAGTGGTTGAGCACGGGGAATCTACAGGCGCCCGCACTTCGTGCTGGTTTATTATACATAAAAACCGCTCCGAAGCCGTACTTAATTACACCGATGACTGGGGGTTTAGTTTTGGGGGCATGTCACTATGAGTTACCGGTGGGTAATAAAAGAAAGCAGAAGATTCTTGAGCCGCTGAGGAGCCCGGTGATAGTTTTATGGCGAGGTCTGATAGTTTTATTGCGGTTGCATGTTGTACAATGTGTATTTGATAAAGAACGGCCTTTGGTGGCCCGTGGACACTTTTTGTACACCGGCGAAATGAAAATAAATGTGAACATGGTTTTAGTGCGAGGGTGGAAACAAATTGCGAGCTCTAAATGGTTCTCCCTTTATGGTCTCCAGACAAGAGGAGAAAAGCGCTGCAAACATCTGTCTTCCGTCCCCCAAATCTAAAGGGCACCAAAGAATGATGTGAATCTAAGTGTTACTACAGCGGGGATTTGTCTTTATTTACCCGCACTCTCATGAATATGAATACGCGTTTGGGGCAGGGAGGTGCCTCGCTCCCTCTCAAACAGCACAGGATAGTTTTTTTAAAAAAATTTAAAAATCCGAGTGCGTTTCCTCCCAGGGAGCACCTTTTGTGTCGCGTTTCTTTCCCCGCAGCGGCACCGCGCTGCCCTCCGC